CACGAATTCCGGGACACGACCGGTGGCCGACTACGTGGGAGTCCAGCGACATAGCCATTACACCAACTGCTGGTCCCCCTCTCTTAAAGTTTTGGGGCCAGCAAGTGGTGTGGTGGTCGAGGCACTGGACTCACGTGACAGACTGTGATTCAAGTCCCCAGACCTGGTGGCTTGCTCTCTCACTTTCTCTCTCTCTGCTCAAATGAAAAGTTCTAATATAAATAAATAATTGTTTAAAAAGTTGTAAGTTTAAAGTTTCACATTTACGTTTGAGCCTGACTTCCTGCCCAAAGTCTATCTCAATCTTTTACATTTCCTTACTGTCCCAGGACAGAAGCTCCATACAAACTAGAAATTTTAGGGTTTACAAAGTACAAACCCTAGAATATCCTCTCATATTTATTTTTATATTAGTATTATATTAGCACTATTAAGAATACTTATTATCAATACTTATTACATTAGCATTTGCACTGGTATTATTAATTATATTTTATATAATTTTTTTTCTTTTTTTGGAGAGGTTTTTGCTATAGGGCACGTGTGCTCGCCAGACAGACAGAGAAAGACAGAAAGTGAGAAATCACCCCCCAGGGGGGATGGTCACGCCGCAATCCCTTCTCCTCCATTCTCCTCTCAGGATCTTGGGCATGCACACACACGCGCCCAACTTGAGTTTAAGCCACCGGGTCCAGGACTCGAACCGCGGTCGACTATGTGGGAGTCCAGCGACATAACCATTACGCCAACTGCTGGTCCCAATATTTTCTACAATATTACTAGTATTATTTTTATTTTTATATTAGCATTGAGGCAGCATTGTGCGATTTACAAAATTTTTTTTTAAAGGCATGTTAGAGAGTGAGCGTGCACTCACCAGAAAGACAGAGACACAAAAACAGAAAGTGAGAAATCACCCACCAGGGGGGATGGCCACACCACAATCCCTTCTCCTCCATTCTCCTCTTGGGATCTTGGGCACTCACACACATGAGTGGCATAAGCCACTGAGTCAGGGACTCGAACCATGGTCGACTACATGGGAGTCCAGCAACATAGCCATTATGCCAACTGCTGGTCCCATTTTTGTTTTGTTTTCTTTTTTTCTTCCATAGAGCATGCCACTCAACAGAGAGAGACAGAGAGAGAGAGAGAGAGGGAAAATGAGAAATCAACCTTTGAGGGGGGGATGACCACAATCCCTTCTCCTCCTTTCTGCTCTTGGGATTTGGGGCACACATGCACACGAGCCTGGTGTGACTTTTCAAGCCACCAGGTCTGGGACTCAAACTGTCATTGGCCATATGGGAGTCCAGCATCCACACCACCTGCTACTCCACCACTCCTAAAATGCATTATTTCAAAATCCAGAATAGAGACAAATATTTACCAAGTCTGATAACTGGTATCCCAATTGTCTAATGGGAAGAGAGTCAAATTTCCAAAAATGAAATATTGTACAACGAAGGACACCATGGAGAAGAGGTCCCCAACCCCCTGGTCGTAGAGGGTGCCCTTCCATGGCCTGTGGGGGGCAGGGCCATGGACCAGAAGGACTGCTCACCCCAGTGCATCATGGTCATGGGGGGTGCGGCTAGCAAGCCAGGCATCCTCAGGGTTTGAAGCCGCTCCTGTCGCTCACTTTGCACCTGGACGTCTCGTCTAGTCAGTGGCCATATTGGGTTTCCCAAGAAACTTGAATCCCATCGTCATGTGATTATTTCAGTGTATGTTGTAACGTGGTAGTGGTGGAAATGGGGTACACGGTGGACATGGTGTGTTTGGATCATCCTGGAACCAATAATCCCCAGCCTCCACTCAAGGGATTGTCTTCCCCCGGCTGGTCTCTAGTGCCAAGAAGGCTGAGGACTGCTGCCACAGGACACCAGAGGCTCACCTGTAGGTAATACCTGTATTAAGGTAAACACCAACATGGACGGACCCACAAGTCATGGCGTAACTGCACAAGAAGGGTGGGCAGTGAGAAGGCTAGGATGGGTCGAAGACATGCAGGAGCTGTAACTTCTAGTTTGCCATGCCAGGAAAGAAATTTACTTAAAATTTAAAAAGAGTAAGTAGGTGTTTAAGCAAGTTATTTTGAAGTCTAGAGAAAATGACAAGAAGAAATGGGTAAAGGCTTTGAGAATGACTCCGCAGAATAGGATTCAAGCATGGAGGGAGAGGGGAAAGGAGGCTTCAGGTTTTCATTAAAACCTTTATGAAACCATTTGACTTAGAAATTATTTACATATGCAGTTTTGATCATAATTCAAGTTCACTTTTTTTTTTTGAGAGACTTTTGCTATAGGGTGCGTACACTCACCAGACAGACACAAAGTGAGACATCACTCCCGGTGGGGAGGGGTGGCTACACCACAGTCCCTTCTCTACTCTCCTCCTGGGATCTGGGCACACACACATGCACTGGGAGTGACTTTCAAGTCACTGGGTCCAGGACTCGATCCGTAGTTGGCCACATGAGAGTCCAGTGCTTTAGCCACGATGCCATCTGCTGGCCCCAATAAAAGTTCACGTTCCAAAGAAAGTGAACATGTCGCCAAATGCAGCTCTAGACTGAGCCGTGTCACAGAGCCTTTCCTCAGGAGCACTTCTAGGAAGGACGATTGCTACTGGGGCTCTGAGGGTCAATGGGCTGGGAAATAAAAGTGGCTACCAGACCAAGGAAAACTGCACGCTCCCACGCTCTGCCTGTCGCACCTGCCGGCTGTGTGCAGACTCTCCTGGCATGTTCTGGGGGTCAGGCTTGCCAGGCAGGACCGCGTGCTCAGTGATGTCCAGAATCCGAATCCTCCGGCCCATGAAATCATTGTCGGGCCCAATGTCGTGAAGCGTTTCCCCTGTTTTCTTCTAAGAGTTCTCGTTTCAGGTGTTAATTGAGGACTTCAACCCCCTTAAGTTTAGACCTTCCGCCCATTTGGGGTTGTTTTTGTCCATAGTGTAATTTTATTCTTTTGTATGTGAACATCTGGTTACCAAAGAATATAGTCCAACTCCTTGGCATACAAGACCCCTCTGCAGTTTAACCTAGTTTGAGGTGGAAGAGGAGGAATGACATTCTCAGCTTTCGGCTTTAAAGTCTTCTCTGCTCAGACTCTCTTGCCCCCAGGAATGCTATGGAGCACAGGGGCTTCCTGAACCCTGCCCACAGGGGCCACAATTTCAGGGACAGAGCCCCTCACTTGAAAAATGAAGCCCAGCCCAACCACCTGCCTCATCCCTGACCTCCCATTTTCCTTTGGCTCACACCCGGGGTCACTGTGCTCTCCCCTGAGCGAGTTCTGTAACCCACAGTGCAGGGAGTCAGGGTGACCCTGGAGCTGCCACTGCATAGCCAGAAAGAGGGGGGCTGAGCTGCCTCAGTACCAGGCTCCTCACGTGCCCCTTCCCTTCACACATTCCTCCCTCTTTCAGCTCTCATTCCTGGCAACCACTGACCTATCTTCCAACTCTAGAATATATCCCTCCAAGGCCTATAAACTGGACCACCCTGTTGGGAACCTTCCAAGTCTGCCTCTGTCACTTGCCACCTTCCCTGGAGGACCTCTGAAGTGGTGTCTGGTTGACTGTGAAAACATGCCTTGTCTGAAGCTGCCAGCCGCAGTCACAAGGAGAACTTCACTGCGATTTCCACTCCCGTGTCCACCAAACATCAAGTTCTCCACACGAGCCAGGAAGGCAAGTAAGGGTAGGGATGAGTCAGTGACCTGCTCAGATGCTGAGGGACTTCCGGGCTCTGGCCCACAGAGTCCACAAACTGGCTTACAGATAGTGGGAAGCTGCGAGTGTCCAGATTTCCTGTAGGAGGGCCAGGACCGCTGTGCGAAAGGCTCGGGGCCTTCATCTGGTGAGGGCTGGGAAGGCACAGTGACCATCTTGGAGTGGTGTTCCTACAGCTCCTTCTAGAACCTTGAGAAAACACTTGATGCCCCTATTAAAGTTGGTGAGGGGAGGCCTGAACCACACCGAGTCGAACCGTACCGGAAGCAATCACAGGTCCTGCTTTCCAAAGTAGTGGTGGCCCCCTGGGCTCCTCTGCAGGGTGGGGAGAACTAGTCGTCTCCCTCTGTTCCGTGGGGACTAACAATGCCTGGCCAGAGCCACAGCCGAGATTCCTTCTGTTTGCGATGACAACAGGTGGCTAGTCTAGTACTCTTACCTGACTCAGGGTATGCCCGGCTATGGATCCTCAGACTGGACCAGGGACAAGTGACCAGGAGAGAAAGGCAAAAGGGAATGGTGCACACACAGCACCGCGCGCGTCTAGGAATGAGAGCCCCCGACGGGATGGAGGAACGCAGCACGAGCAGCCTCACATAGGGTGGGGATGCTTCCTCCCCCTCCCTCTCCCTCTGGTGAGCACACGCCCCCTCTGGCAATTAGAAGACACACACACACACACTCGCACACACACAAAACTGAAGCAACTCAACCTTTCCCACTGTTACAACAGTAACATTAAAATAAGAGGTCATCAGAAGAGTTACTGGCATGAAGAAAACTGGGAGATCCAACTCCGAGTTAAGCCCCATGTTGTGATCACAGACATCGCCGCCCAGGGCACGGTCATCGCGCTGTTCGTGCCCCACATAGCAAACCACGTCCTCCTCAGCAGCCTCTCCAGGCATCAGGGCTGCCCATGCTGGGCTGCACTTGGCCGGCTGTACCCATCCTGCGCTAACATGGCACCCGGCTCCTCGGTCTGCCCCTAGGACAAGATGGTTGCTCTGCTTTTTCTTTTTGCTTTTCCAAATGAATGATAGAGATCAGCTCAAAGTTCACTATGCTCTAGCTACAGTTGTGAAAGCCCTGGTCAGGTTACTAAGAAACTGGCATCTTTGAATAACAACTGAAAGTAATATTGTGAAATGCAATTTTTATTAGAGGTTTTTGCCTTAAGAAGAATGTGCTCGCCAGAGAGAGAGAGAGAGAGAGAGAGAGAGAATAAGATAGTTAGAGGAAAATGAGAAATCACCCCCCAGGAGGGATGGCCTCATCGCAATCCCTTCTCCTCCAATCTCTTTGTGAGATCTTGGGCATGCACACACATGTACCCGGCATGAGTTTCAAGCCACTGGGTCCAGGACTCAAACCACGGTTGGCCATGTGAAAGTCCAGCGACATTACTGCTATGCCATCTGCAGGCCTGGGAAATGCACGTTTCTTAAATTTGAAAGAGGACACATACGTTCAGAGAGAGAGAAGGGAAGTGAGAAAGCATACCCCAATAGAGGGTATCACACCACAATCCTTCTCCTCCGTTTCTTCCTCCTTTCAGGATTTTGGGCACACAAGTACATGCACCTGGCATGTTTTTCAAGGTGCAGGGCCGGGATTTGAATCGTGAGAACAGCCATGTAGCATCTGGCTCTTTAACCATCAGGCTACGAGGCTGGTCCAGAAAATACATTTTTAATAACATTTCATCAAAATCTTACCAGGAAACAAACAGTAAGACGCCACATAGCACCTGTTTTCACTCTGAGTCAGAACAGGGACTCAGTGCGGGAGCTCAGAAAGCAACCTGATGCGCTGGGGAGCCCCAGTCCCTCAGCGGCCACACTCAGGACTGGCTTATGTTTGCTCATGTCTGTTCTTTCTTTTTAACTTCCAAGCCACCGGCTCACGGTCTGGCGGTTCAGGCAGCTGGACTGTACATGGTTGACAATGCGGTTCGAATCCTGGTCCCAGGGCTTGAGGAACACACCAGGTACATGTGCATGTGTGCCCAAAATCCCAGAAGGGAGAAACAGAGGAGAGGGGATCGCCGTGTGGCCATTCCCCACGGCAGTGAGAAGCACTTCTCGATCTCTCTCTGGTGGGTACATGTGCCCTCTGGCAAATTTAAAAAGAAAATAAAGAAATAAAATAAGGCCTTGCATGGCAGAAACACACCTTCAACTTTGTAGTACACCCACATCTTGCCCCCACCATGCCAAACACAGTTCCTTATACAGAGCACACATTCAAAGATAAAGTATTTGTTGTAACTATGTGTGTTTTGTTCTAAATATTGACTTGCAGTTAATAAAATATCCTGCATATTTTTTTTCGAGACATGAGGGAATAGAATAATGTAATGATCGTTTATCAAAGAATTCCCCCAAAAGTCACCAACTTTGAATGTTACTTTCATACTTCATAAACAATGCTTAGTTTGAAAAACTTATTAAAGAGCCTAATTTTTAGTCAAGGACAGAGTTTTAACTATTACTCCAAAATCCAGTTAAATATTTTTTGGAGAGGTTTTTTTTTTTTTTTTTTTGCTTTGGGGTTGGTGCTTCAGC